TTCCGATAATTAGTGACCTTTTTGGCGGCGTAAATTTGACCCAGCATTATCTCGTCACCACAGCTGACCATGAGGTGGTTATGTACAGAGAACTTATAGAGAGGAGAATTACTGCTCTGTAATGTCTTATGGGTTTCTCAAACACTAGGGGGCGCTCCCGAGTGAGTCCAAAATGAATGAGTTAAAATGGAGCAAATCTAAATCTAAAGGGTTCTACGTTCATGAAGTCTGTGAGCGCAAACAGCCAATGAGCTGCTCTGCTCGCCAAACAATCAGCGCTTAGTGGCAGTAATGCTAACCAATCAGCTCTCAGTAGCAGTAATGCTAACCAGTCTGCTCTCAGTAGCAGTAATGCTAACCAATCAGCGCTCAGTAGCAGTAATGCTAACCAGTCTGCTCTCAGTAGCAGTAATGCTAACCAATCAGCGCTCAGTAGCAGTAATGCTAACCAATCAGCGCTCAGTAGCAGTAATGCTAACCAGTCTGCTCTCAGTAGCATTAATGCTAACCAGTCTGCTCTCTGTAGCATTAATGCTAACCAATCAGCGCTCAGTAGCATTAATGCTAACCAGTCTGCTCTCAGTAGCATTAATGCTAACCAGTCTGCTCTCTGTAGCAGTAATGCTAACCAATCTGCGCTCAGTAGCATTAATGCTAACCAGTCTGCTCTCTGTAGCAGTAATGCTAACCAATCTGCGCTCAGTAGCAGTAATGCTAACCAATCTGCTCTCAGTAGCAGTAATGCTAACCAGTCTGCTCTCAGTAGCATTAATGCTAACCAGTCTGCTCTCAGTAGCAGTAATGCTAACCATCGCCTCAGTAGCAGTAATGCTACCAGTCTCTCAGACATTGCTAACATCGCTCTCTGTAGCAGTAATGATAACCAATCTGCGCTCAGTAGCAGTAATGCTAACCAATCAGCGCTCAGTAGCATTAATGCTAACCAGTCTGCTCTCAGTAGCATTAATGCTAACCAGTCTGCGCTCAGTAGCAGTAATGCTAACCAATCAGCGCTCAGTAGCAGTAATGCCAACCAGTCAGCGTTACTTAAGTGGTTGCTACGGCATCTCAGGTGGTAGCTAAGGTGTTGTTATGTGTTGCTATGATATCCCAGGTGGTTACTAGGATGTTGCTGTGTGGTTGCTATGGTAATTCAGGTGGTTACTACGGCATTTCAGATGGTCTAAAGTGTTGCTATGTGCTTGCTATGGTAATTCAGGTGGTTACTACGGCATTTCAGATGGTCTAAAGTGTTGCTATGTGGTTGCTATGGTATTTCAGGTGGTTACTATGGCATCTCAGATGGTTACTAGGTTGTTGTGGTTACTATGACATCTCAGATGGTTACTAGGTAGGTTACTACAGGATCTCAGGTGGTTGCTAAGGTGTTGCTATGGTATTTAATGTGGTCGCTAAGGTGTTGCTATGTGGTTGCTGTGATATCCCAGGTGTTTACTAGGATGTTGATAGGTGGTTACTATGGCATCTCAGATGTTTGCTAAGTTGTTGCTATGAGATTGCTATGGTATTTTAGGTGGTTACTACAGCATCTCGGGTGGCTGCTAAGTTGTTGCTGTGTGGTTGCTATGGTATATCAGGTGGTTGCTAAGGTGTTGCTTTGTGGTTGCTATGAAATCCCAGGTGGTTACTGTGGTGCTGCTAAGTGGTTGCTATAGTATCCCAGGGGGTTGTTAGGGTGTTGCTACATGGTTGCTATAATATCCCACGTGATTAATAGGGTGTTGTTAATGAAATCGTACTTCCAATCAAAAAGCACCTTTCATACACATTCAAATTGTTTTGTAAATGAAAAATACAAAGATAATTTAATTCTATTTTAATTTAAATCTACTAATTTAAAAAGTACCATAATTTATACAACTGCGTATCTCAATACAGAGTTTTAACGGTGCTGATATCTTAAAAACTGCCGTCCGAGTTTGTGAACTAAAATCCGGCAGAAAAATATCAACAAGAGAAAGAATAGTTTATCATCAGAGAACAAATCCATCATCTCTGGAAGGGCTTGTTGTCGTCAGCAGCCGTATGATAAAAATAACGGACAAATGCAGGAGGGAAAACCTTCCACTGCTGTGTTTCTCCAGCTCTGCTCCAGCGGGGCGGGTTGTCTCGGCTCTTTCTGTTCTCTCAGGTTTGACCCAGTTTGTTAGCTGTGGCCCAGTTGAGTCCGGCTTTGTGCTGGTTCTGCAGAATTCTCTCTCCAGCAGCGCCAGAGTTCTTCATCATCATCATCATCATCTGCCTCAGAGTGTCATCACTGTCACAATAAAACCTCCAGATCTCCAAATGAGTTGCTCGATAAGTGAAAAGAAAAATACGTCCTGGAACATCTGTTAATGTAGCTAAAAATCAAAAATTTAATATTTATGTTGGTCCAATCATCATCACTGTGGTCACTGTGTAATTCTGTATGTGTTATTTCATAGTTTTGATGTGATTATTACTGTAAGATGTGAAAAATAAAGGCCTTTGGGTAGCAGGGTTAATATAGAGTGTGTTTACATGCACTTAATAATCTGATCATTATCAGATTTCTGCAGTTATCTGATTATTTGAATGGTCATGTAATTTTTTTAAATTTCTTAGGTAAGAGTAAGGTCTAGAAATCTGACTAAGAAATCTGATAAAGAGGCTGGATTTTAGCTCAGTAATCAGATTTCTCAGTGCATGTGAACTCTTACTCTGATTTCTTTCGGATTTCTCAGTCTGAGCATGTGCGAAAACAGATGGTGGTACCGGAAATAAGTCAGCAGCGTCGCCAAGAGACGCAGCAAAACACTTTTAGAGCTACGCTGAAACCAAATACATGCTTGTTCATATTTTCAGGTAAAGTGACTAGAAGTTTTTAAAAAAGCTGCTCATGAAGTTTGAGTTTTATGTTTACGTCTCGTCTTCTTCTGTGAGATTATTGGCTGGTTGTAAAGCAGAAATCTGATCACTGTCTCACTCATGTAGTCATGTAGAGTTTCAGATCGGATTACTGACAAAATCTGAATTTCTGAAGTTATCAGATCTTCAAAACCAGGAATATTAAATCAAAGCTATAACGTCACTGCAACAACAATCTAAACCGAAAAATTTTGCATAAAAAAATTTAGCGTGAAAGCTGGTGAATTCTTTCCATTTCAAACCTTATATAGCCAGCAGATGGCACTGTGTTTAAGTTTAGAGTGCTTTCTGAAAAAGTGTTCTCCATACTACATAACTCAAACTGAAAATAAATAAAAACAAAGCAAGACTAAAAACAAAAACTAAGACTACCTGAAACTAAACTGACAACTAAAATAAAATATAAACACATTTATTATTTTGAATTTTTCATCTTTTTAAAATTTAAACTTTTTTTTTTCCAGTTTAATTTCAGGTCGTCTTAGTTTTGTTTTTATTTTTAAACTTTTATTTAGTTTTTATTTATTTGCAGTTTGAGTTATGTAGTGTGGAGGATTTTTTTCAGAAAGCGCTCTAAAATAATTCTAAATTGGACTGTTTTTTCCCGCAGTTCAGCAATGCTAAACTTAAACACAGCGCCATCTGCTGACTATGTAAGGTTTGAAATGGAAAAAATTCACCAGCTTTAATGCTAATTTTTTTTATGCAATATTTTTCAGTTTAGATTGTTGTTGCAGTGACGTTATAGCTTTGATTTAATATTCCTGGATTTGAAAATTGACGCTTTATATTTTCATAAAGTTAACAAGTGAATTTCTTCACTGCTCGTTTTCATTGGCGATAATAAGCAGCCGGCGTGTCCAGACTTTTGACCGGCTCTCTCGGTTCATTGAGTGCTTCAGCGCTGCTTTAGTGCCCGTATCCGAAGCATCCTGATCAGCTCCGTGTGTGAGGGATTATGGGAGATCTATGAAATAAAAAGCCTCTATTCCTCCAGGCACAGCAGATGTTTCAGTCCAGCGTCAGTCGGGGTCAGACGGGGCTTTTAAAAGGGGTCAACAGAGCCAAATCTAAATCGGACCGAAGGGAACCTGCTTTCGGTTCTACGCAGTGTTAGATTTACTGACTCTAACCCTCTCAGAGCGAGAGAGACTCATTCTCAGGAAGACAGAGATATTAGTCTGCTGTCAGAAATGTAAACGTAAATAAAAAATAAAGCGCTGTAACCCTGTAAATCCTCAGCCTCGTCATATTTATACATCACTGACTGTACGTTGGTGATGTTTTATTATATAGTGATCTGTGTCGTCTGATTCAGATTTACTGTGGCGCTAAAGGTTGAGCCCAAATACTCAAAATACAAATACTTTTCACAAAAAATGTGAAAACATAGAATATGTGGTCAACATAACTAATATTTTTCATTTTGAAATTAGTGTAAGAATAATATCTAATGTATTTCTATACATTTTTACGTTTTAAGTTAAGTGAAAGTGTCTTATTCAGTTGGCAGATTATCTTTCTTTATCATTTTTTATTTTGTTTTGAAAAATAATACAAGAATTATCAAAGTAATAAGACAATTTAATAACACAAACTTACTGGATAAGTGAAAATGTATAGAAATAGGTTATAATATTATATTGTCTCAAAAGATTAAACAAGTATATATTCATTATATTTCTGATGTTTTCTCCTGCTAAGATATTATTTTTTGCAGTGTAGTTATGATGTAAGTGTTGTTTACAGGGTTAACAGTGATGCGAAGTGTTGTAGCATCTCAGTCTTGACCTGTGTCCAGGTCTGGTTCTCGACTTGGACTGTGTGTCCAGGTCTGGTTCTCGACTTGGACTCTGTGTCCAGGTCTCATTCTTGACTTGGACTCTGTGTCCAGGTCTCGTTCTTGACTCGGACTCTGTGTCCAGGTCTCATTTTTGACTCAGACTTGACTCTAGTGTCTTGACTCGGTCTTGACTCGGATTTGACTCGGATTTGACTCTAGAGGTCTTGACTCGGACTCGACTGTAGTGGTCTGGGCTACAGCACCAGTGATGTGTGTTGTTCATGTTGGTGTGTTTTCTCTGTTACAGATTGACGCTCTGTGTAAGAGGAGTAAGGAGTCGGAGGCAGCGTTCCTCAGTGTGTATAAGAGATTAATCGATGTCCCAGGTGTGTATCACACACACACACACACACACACACACACACACACACACTGCTGTAATGTTTGAGTGGAGCAGAAACACTGTAAACACATCAGTCATATTTATGAGGCTTATGTCTCCAGTGTCCTCTCACACACACACACACACACACACACACACACACACACACACACACACATTGCTGTAATGACTTCACCGGCTTTACACTCACACACACCCACACACCCACTCACCCACACACACACTCAGACTGAAAGCAGACGGTGTTTGGTTACAGCAGTGTGAGTATTCAGACTTTCCTAACTGCAGTCTAACCTGAACTGAGCTGCATGTCCAGGATAAAGGATACTGTTAGGGATGTGGGTGGGTGTTGGGAGGGTGTGTTGGGGGGCTGAGGGGTCCACAGCACTCCCAGATATCAGGGTTGTTTAACTGCAACTCCTAAAATAAATAACAAATAACAGAAGATCAGAACTTTTCTTGTTTGTGATCAAACGGTTTTATTTTTAAGATAAAGCTCCAGTGTAATAGCAAATACAGTAGGCAACAAAAACAATAACAACAATGGAGCGCCATATCATCCCCCACCCACATGGCACCCATACATTTACCACTGATTAAGAGTAAATAAATAAATAAATAAGTAAATAAATAAATCCTTTTGATGTATCAAGTAATACAAACAAACCAGTACAGTATAAAGAAAGAAGTCTTCAACATTTTGAGCCTATTAAAGACGTTTATTTATATACAGTCTATGGCATGCGCCTGTACCCTGGGCCCCGATGACGGCCGCGAGAGCCGGCAGGAAGGCAGGGTCTAAACTCCGAGCGAGGACGAACCCCAAGTGAGGGGGGCACGAGTCCTGCCTCCTGGGCGCCCCCTCTGGTCCCACTGCGATGCCACTTTAATTTGCCTCACGTTTGACCTGGGCAGCCGAGCTGTGCATCAGGGGGCGGAGCAACGGGCTCTCGTTCCCTCTCGGCTCAGGTGCTCACGCTGCCCTTAATGAGGGCCGGCAGCTCCATACCTGACTCTCACTTGACTCTAGGTTTTTGACTCGGACTTGACTTTGGTGGTCTTGACTCATACTCGATTCAAGTGGTCTTGGCTCAGTCTTGACTCGTACTCGACTCTGGGTCTCGACTCTAGTGGTCTTGACCCGGACTTGACTCTGGTGATCTTGACTTTGTCTCGACTCTAGTGGTCTTGGACTGAACTAGTGGTCTTGACTCAGACTTGACTCTAGAGTTTTTGACTTGGACTTGACTCTGGAGGTCTTGACTCAGACTAGACTCTAGTGTCTTGTCTCAGACCCGACTCTACTGTCTTGACTCAGGCTTGACTCTAGTGTCTTGACTCGGACTCGACTCTAGTGGTCTTGACTCAGACTTGACTCTAGAGTTGTTGACTTGGACTTAATTGCAGTGGTCTTGACTCAAGTGAGCGGGGGGCAGCATGCGAGTCCTGAGTCCTGCCTCCTGGGCGCCGTCTCTGGTCCCACAGCGATGCCGCTTTAATTTGCCTCACGTTTGACCTCGGCAGCCGAGCGGAGGAGGTGGAGCAACGTGCTCTCATCCCCTCTCGGCTCAGGTGCTCATGCTGCCCTTAATGAGGGCCAGCAGCTCCCCACTGTCCTCGCCGGGGTTTGTCCTTGCTTGTTCTTGCTTGGGACGGGCGCATGCCGTACGGTCGTATGCCGGAGTTTAAACACTCCGGTCAGATTACTGTGATTACTGTGATACGAAGTCGCAATTATCAATAACGACGCCCCCTATTGGTGGTAAATGCTTTTTAAAATATTAACTGTTTTAATGAAAATCTTCAATAAAACTCTCCTATTAAATGTGATTCTGAGTAGCTCAACATCTTTTGAGAATCTGTCGTTATAATAACCGTTAATGCTGTAACGGGATGGAATCGTTACTTGTTGCTATATGTGGTCAAAAAAACAGGCATGTCAGAACCAAGACAGACCGGATACACAGAGACAAACATAACAAACGGCTAAAATCCAGCTGAACGCATCCAAAGGGAGAAGGTGAGGCATATCAGTATTGAGGTGAAGCTGTACGACGATTGGTTGGTGGTGATGATGCCACAGTCACGTGATATCCCAGGGAGTTCTGGGATTTGGAGTCGATGGGAGAAGCAGGGTCAGAGGGATGCGTTCAGGAGCTTCTTCTGGTGCAGATTCGCAGCAGCTGGTGTGTTAATAGCGCCCCTGCTGGGCAAAACTTCAGACTGCAAGTGATTTCCAAAGCCGTGTCTGCGCAGTTTCCACATTAAAAACATTTTACTCAGTAAATTTGTAGGGATGTGTGCGCAACAAAAGCTTGAACTGGGGATGAATATATGGAGAGAAGCGCTGATTCAGTGAGAGCTGGAGAAATATTTCACTACAGACTGGCAGCTGAGCTGAAACTGTAAAGACAGTGAACATTATAAACATGATCAACATTATAAACATAATAAACGTTATAAACTTTGTGAACATGATAGCGGCTCCTATCTGCCTGTGTTGTACTCCTTCAGCTTTTTCTCCACTCTTCTGGCTCTCTGATTGGCTGTTGTTTGAATCCACATGGCGATTGAGAAGACATTTCTCCTTAAACCCACTTACGCAGTTTTTACGAAGATTCTGACTCACCAGTGTCCTCTTATGTGGGGTTTGTTCTTAGGTGAGAACAGAATCTACACACACTCAAGAGCACAAAAGAGAGAACAGTTCTGTGCTTTGATACTGGAGAACGAGGCCCGTTCACATGTTCTAACAGCTGTTCTTAAGAGAACAGTCAAGAAAGAGATGAAGAAAGTTCTTACGAAGTTTTTTGAACGTTACAGCTCAGCCAGTCACGTTTACTCTGTCACGTTTGCACTCACTGCGTTTTCGGCTGAACTGTCGGTGAACAGTAGGAGCTGGAAATACAGTGTGTTGTCGTTTTAGCAGTGATGTGTAGGTTTACTGTGTAAAATCTATATTAATCTTCCTGAATTATTTTAAGTGATGTATGAAACAGTGAACGGCGCTGGGTCGCGCGCCCGGCCCTGCGGTCTGAGAGCCGCTCTGCGCTGTGTGACGTAGGAGGACTGGAGTGTGTGTAGTCTGAGCTGTGAGCTGACTTCTGGCTGAACTGGAGCTGAACGGCTGCCTGGGAGACCCCACACACACACACACACGTGCACACACACCCACACACACACACACACACACCCACACCACACACACACACACACACACACACACCACACACACACACCCACACCACACACGCTCTCTGTGGACATGCTGGAACTTGCTGCACTGTCTGTCTGCACAAACACTCAGTTTATCCCCAAATTACTGCTCTACACAGTGAGTGTGTGTGTGTGTGTGTGTGTGTGTGTTTTCATACATTATCAGGACAAAATTGTGATATGGGACATACATCATTATACATAGATACTTACAGAATACATAGCACATGATTCTTTATAGTTACTTACATATGTGCTACAGCAGCAAAGAGAGATCAAGACACTCAAGAAAAGAAGTAACAAGCAAGTAATTAACCTTGTTAATCACTAAACAAGGTTACAGTTTGTTACTTGTTACTATATATACCATATATATAATACTAAAGATACAAATATATAAGAGAGAAATATATATAAATAAACAATCTTATTAAGATAAGATTGTTACTATTTGGAACAATATATATAATACTAAAGACACAAAGTATAAGATACAAAAATATAAACTCTATCCTTCACATAAACTCTATTCACAAAAATTAACAATATAAACAATTATAAATAAAAAAGCAAACAGCGACAAACATGGAGTATTGATTATATCACACATGAGAATGGTGATGAATTAGCATATAATTAACAATTAACATTTATTATATAAACATTATAAATATGTATGTAAAAATATAAAATGTTACAACTGTATTACATATAGGCACCTTTTGGTAGTAATGACATGATATGTGATAATAGTATATAATACATTTTATTATATATGGGTGCTTATATATAATAACAACATTTCTGTAATATACATATGATGTTATTATCACATATACAAACCTGCATGCGTATAATACAAATAGGACTGTTATTATGTAATTTTTACTACATGTAGATCCTGAAGAAATTCGATTTAAAATCTGGTCATCAAACATTTATTTGCTCAGAAAAATGCTAATATTAGAATAGATACCAATAACATCAGCACCAGCCTGTTATTAGTATAAGAACCGGCTGAAACGGCTGAGCAGGAAACTGTGTTTATCTAGAATAAAGAGCCGGACGGACTCGGAGGAAACTGTCTGTCTGTGTTGTCGAAGGAGAATCTCAGGCAGGGTCGTCTACATGGCTATCGGGGGCTCCATCTCCCCCCATTCAAAGAGGGCATGAAGTTTCACAGACAGTGAGAATGATGATCAAATTGATCGATCTTGAAGGACTTGACGCTCAGCGTCCTCATCCTCGCCAGTCCAGCAACTGAGACCCCAACGTGTTATGGCAGCCCCCCTACAGTTAGCCCCCTACAGTTAGCCCACTTTATCCTCCAAATATTGCGAGTTTATTCTTGTAACTTTGCGACTTTATTATCAAAATATTATGACTTTATTCTCGAAATATTGCCATTTTATTCTCGAAGTCTGTTAAGTCCAAAGTGCCATCATATTTTTGCACCCTGGTCAAATTTTGTCTTGTTAAAATTTCAAAAAGTTTCTGTAAATAACCACCTGCAAACCATAACCATCAATCTTAGGAAGCTTTTTTAAGAAGAACCTCATTTAAGCATTCAAATGGTTTTTTCAGTGTTCTTTACTAAAGAACTCTTGAAGAACCATCTTTTTAAGAGTGTACAGTATAGACTGTGCTGTATCTTTTGCCTGTATATACTGTGTATATGGGATATGCATGTGATCCCATGTCCTTACAAGATATAAAAACAAAGCTGTATGTGTGTGTTTGTGTGTGTGTGTGTGTGAATGTCTGTGTGTGAATGTCTGTGTCTGTGTGTGTGTGTGTGTGTGTGTCTGTGTGTGAATGTCTGTGTGTGAATGTCTGTGTCTGTGTGTGAGTGAGTGAGTGTGTGTGTGTGTGTGTGTGAGTGAGTGTGTGTGTGTGTGTGAGTGTGTGAATGTCTGTGTGTGAATGTCTGTGTCTGTGTGTGTGTCTGTGTGTGAATGTCTGTGTCTGTGTGTGTGTGTGTGTGTGTGTGTGTGTGTGTGTCTGGGAATTTTCTCTTTTATCTGTGAAATCTGGAGCTTGTCCAGTCCTGTCTGACAGTGTCATCACATCACCGCCGAACAAATTATCTCTGCATAGTTTTATGCCCTGCTGTGTGTGTGTTTTGTGTATTACAGTGTGTGTATTACAGTGTGTGTGTATTACAGTGTGTGTGTGTATTACCGTGTGTGTGTATTACAGTGTGTGTGTATTACAGTGTGTTAGTGTGTGTGTGTGTATTACAGTGTGTTAGTGTGTGAATGTGTGTGTGTGTATTACAGTGTGTCTATTACAGTGTGTGTGTATTACATTGTGTGTGTGTGTGTATGTGTGTTTGTGTGTGTGTGTCTGTGTGTGTGTGTATGTGTATTACAGTGTGTGTGTATTACAGTGTGTTTTTGTGTGTGTGTGTATGTGTATTACAGTGTGTGTATTACAGTGTGTGTATTACAGTGTGTGTATTACAGCGTGGGTGTGTGTGTATTACAGTGTGTGTATTACAGTGTGTGTATTACAGTGTGTGTATTACAGCGTGGGTGTGTGTGTATTACAGTGTGTGTATTACAGTGTGTGTATTACAGTGTGTGTATTACAGCGTGGGTGTGTGTGTATTACAGTGTGTGTATTACAGTGTGTGTATTACAGCGTGGGTGTGTGTGTATTACAGTGTGTGTATTACAGTGTGTGTATTACAGTGTGTGTATTACAGCGTGGGTGTGTGTGTATTACAGTGTGTGTATTACAGTGTGTGTATTACAGCGTGGGTGTGTGTGTATTACAGTGTGCGCGTCGTATAACCTCTTCCTGCGTCGTATAACCTCTTCCTGTGTCGTATAACCTCTTCCTGTGTCGTATAACCTCTTCCAAAGACAGCATAGAAATCAACTCAGATATTTTTAATCAATGTAATAAAGTAGAATATTTCTTTCGTAACTCTCTTATCAGATTAACTACGGCGCTGTCAGTGTCGGCTCTGCGCTATGGGATTTCTAGTACTATGTTATCGCTAAGCTAACGCTGGTGTCTGTGGGAGTGTTTTGGCCGTTCTAAATTAAACGCAGACCTTTGAAGCTTGTAAAGACGTTCTATGTGTTTTATCTGAATCTTGTATCAGTCATTATCAGATATCTGATCTTGTGTGTAGTTTTACAGAGACTCTTTCAGTAAAGAGTTCTGACACAGAGCTGCTGCCGCCGTTTAACATTCCTAACAACTAACTGGAACACTGCTTAGACTACAGTCTCTCTCTCTCTCTCTCTCCCTCTCTCTCTTCTCCCTCTTCTGTCTCTCTATGTCTCTCTTTTGCTTTGCTCTCTTCTCCTTCGATCTTCTCTCTCTTTCTTCCTGTCTCTCCCTTTCTCTCTTTACCGTCTTCTTTCTTTTTCTCTATTTTCTCTCTCTTTCTTCTATCTCTCTTGCTCTCTCTCTATGTCTCTCTTTCACTTCGCTCTCATCTCCTTCTTTCTTCTCTCTCACTCTCACTCTCTTTTTCTCTCTCTTTCTGTCTCTCTCTCTCTCTCTCTCCCCCTCTTTATCTCTCCCCCTTCTCTCTCTTTGTCTCTCTTTCTCTTCACTCTCTTCTCCCACTCCCTTTTCTTTCTCTCTCCCTCTCTCTCTCTCTCTCTCTCTCTCTCGGGGGTTAATATAATGCTTTGATTATATAATTAACTCTGCTGTCTCGTTAAGGAGAGCGGTTGTGAACGAGGCTGTAATTAGTCATGCAGTAATTAGCGTGTGAGCGACGGGCTGAGCTGGATGTGTCTGAGGGTTTTACGTCGTCTGGTGTGAGAATCCAGCCCAGCGCAGCGTTTCCCCCAGAAACAAACGACAACACGAGCAAAAACAAACAGGCAGCAGAGAAATGACATCACCCACTACTGACAGCCTGTATAATCTCCATAGGAAAGCACTGACCAATAGAATGGAGCAGCCTGGGGTCACATGATCCTAAGGTCTCCATGCCCAGTTCCCAGCATGGGCTAGAGGGGCATAAAGTCTCCCAGCATTGGGCTGTGGAGCAGTGGAACTGTGTTCTCTGGATTAGGTGATCCATCCAATACCTTTGGGATGACCTCACTAATGCTCTCATTAGAGAGTGATGATGAAGCTCAGTGTCTCTCTCTCTCTCTCTCCCTCTCAGACCCCGTCTCTGCTCTAGAAGCCGCTCAGCAGCTGCAGCTGACCGTCAGGAAGATGCACGATGTGGAGACGGAGAATCAGAAACTGCATGAGAAGCTGCAGGAGTACGACAGAGACTCCGCCCAGGTCAAAGGTCATGGTAAATACTACAGAGCAGCAGCGCACGCTATAGCCGTGTCCCAAATCAGGGGCTGCATCCTTCGAAGGAGGCGGTCTATAAAGGCGTGTTCTTTGAAGGCTGCGTAGACCCACAAGGGCTGAACTGAAATGCGACGGTCTGCTCTACGGCGGATTTCCTGTTTGTGTCACAGCGCCACTGTTCCGCCCTCACCACTGCATCACGAAACGCTGCTCCTGTCACGTTCTTTTAAAGCTCTTTAAAGACGGAGAAACTTTGATTTTAGTCATTAATTAGAGCTGGAGCTGCGTCTCTCTGTCGGCTCTTTGCTTCTCAAAACAAAACGAAGCGCAAGTTTAGCGTAAGTTTTGCTTCACACCACGTTGGTCTTTTTAACATTCGTATCTTTCGCTTTTCGACTCAGTTTAAATCCAATACCTGTTTCCTCAGCCGCCATTCGCCCCTCTGCTGACGCCACCATGTTCTCGAATCGTCACCAGCACGCAGTGAACCTCGGGATCTGTTGGCTGGTGAAGGATCCACCCATTGGTCCTTTATTGCCACGTAAAAGAAGGAAACATTTCCTTCGAAATGGGACAGACTAGTCGCGCCGCTGTGACCCAATCAGTCTTCAAATGAAGCCTCCGAAGGGCGCAGCCCCTGAAATGGGACACAGCTCATGTTGCCATTAGCGCCTTTCTTTTTCAACGAAGCACCCAGCGACAGATCTGACGACTTTCTGGACAAACTTTAGCTCCTGTCCACCGAAGAGCGTCGCAGTACGACTGCACGACGGCTCACAAAGACGAGAATGAGCTACATGTGCAGACAGTGCTGCCAAGGACCAACCCTGATCTGTACCGTTCACTCCTCCTTTTGTTTTAAAAAAGGCCAAGTTTACGTGCTGATAATCCGTTAATAATCCGACTAATAGCTCAATTGAAATAAAATACGTCCATGTAAACACCTTCATCGGAATAGGCTCGTCCGATTGAAGCCGTTCAGAATACAGTTTCTGTCTGATTGAACGAGTTGGGTAATCCTGTTATCAGATTATTAAATGTAAACTCACTGAACCAATTACTGACACAATCTGATTTTCTGGAGTTATCAGATTATTAAGTGTAAACGCACTGAACCAATTACTGACACAATCTGATTTTCTGGAGTTATCAGATTAATACGTGTAAACACACTGAGCCAGTTACTGACACAATCTGATTTTCTGGAGTTATCAGATTAATACGTGTAAACACACTGAGCCAGTTACTGACACAATCTGATTTTCTGGAGTTATCAGACTATTAAGTGCATGTAAACACACTCAATGTGTGTGAGCTGGTCTTATAAAGCTTTGTGAAAAATGGAGCCCCCACACGGGGCCCACAGGTGGGCACTAGAAGGTTCCTCGGCCCTGCTGTGGAACCCCCCTCAGTTCCGCTCTGACTGACTCAGCTCAATAACGGCAGTAATTTATTACACTATTGATTTTACATCTCTCTCTCTCCGGGCGAGCGAGGCAGAGTGTTGAGTGTTTAAGGCTGAGTGGAGCTGAGGGGCTGCGGCTCATTGATTATCTGTCAGGGTTACAGTCCCATCTATTACATCACTATAAAGACACGGTCGGGGGCGATTACCAGGAACTGTTCAATCTGCTCCTCGCTTGCTCTCTCTCTCTCTCTCTCTCTCTCTCTCACTCACTCTATTTCTATCTCTCTCTCTATCTCTCTCTCTCTCTCTCACTCACTCTATCTCTCTCTCTCTCCATCTCTCTCTCTCTCACTCGCTCTATCTCTCTCCATCTCTCTCTCTCCCTCTCACTCGCTCTATCTCTCTCCATCTCTCTCTCACTCGCTCTATCTCTCTCCATCTCTCTCTCTCCCTCTCACTCGCTCTATCTCTCTCCATCTCTCTCTCTCTCTCACTCGCTCTATCTCTCTCCATCTCTCTCTCTCTCTCCATCTCTCTCTCTCTCACTCGCTCTATCTCTCTCCATCTCTCTCTCTCTGCATCTCTCTCTCTCTCTCTCACTCGCTCTGTCTCTCTCCATCTCTCTCTCTCTCTCCTCTCTCTTTCTCTTTCTGTCTTTCTTGTCTTTTTAGTACCCTACAAAGTGTTGGGTTGGGGAGATTCTTTTTATCCTGGGTTCAGCTTTTATATTCTGGTGCTTCAGTCATGCTTAAAGTTGGTGGTGGGCTCAGTTGTCCGATTAAGATGCTAAGGAGAATTGGGCAGGGGGGTCCTCTGACTGGGCAGCTGTATAGCCTTGCAATTGAGTGATTATGTAGGTTGAGGTCTAAGTTGCAGGGGTTGCGGGTGCCAGGGTTAGCTGATAGGGTGGTGTTGTCTGCCTATGCAGATGATGTAACTGTCTTCATTAGAGACAATGAGGATGTTCAGGCCTTGACTCAAACTCTGCGCATGTATGAAGGTGCATCTTCTGCCCGTGTAAATTGGGATAAATCTGAGAGTTTATTTTGGGACAGTGGCAGGGTAGAGGGGCACCAGTTTTGCCAGCACGCCTACGGTGGGGGTCGCAGGGTTTGAAGTATCTTGGTGTATTTCTGGGAGCAGCAGCATATCAGGATAAGAATTGGGAGGGAGTAGTGAAGAAGGTCTGTGCCAAGTTGTCTCAGTGGGCTTGGGTCCTGCCTCAGCTGTCCTACAGGGGAAGGGTCTTGGTGGCCAATAACTTGATTGCCTCAATGCTGAGGCGCAGGTTCACTGTGCTGGAGCTGCCTGACCTGCTGATCAAGGAGATCCAGTGAAAACTGGTGGATTTTTTCTGGACTGGCCAACACTGGACCCATGGTGCCATCCTATATCTGCCTGTGCACGAGGGAGGTCAGGGTCTGATCCATCTGTCTAGCCGGATAAGGACTTTCAGACTCCAAACGGCACAAAGACTCTTGTATGGCTCAGGGTTGGCGTGGGCTGCTACTGCCTGTGCTCTGCTGCGATGGGTGGAAGGCTTGGGCTATGAGAGCCATCTGTTTGTGTTGCGGCTGAGAGAGATGGACCTGTCTGGGACCTCTGCTTTCTATCGGTCTGTGCTGAGGGCTTGGCCCTTGGCACTTAGGACTACCAGATCTGAGGTGCAGCTTTGTTCTCTTGCTGAAGAGGAGCCTCTGTTCTTCAATCCTTTGATTCCAGTCACTGGGCTGACCTTCAGAAGTATCCGCCTGCGCTTTCAAGGGGCAGGTATTACGAAACTAGGAGATCTGAAAGTTGGTGAGGACTGGAAATCTGGTGGAGTTTTAAGTGCTGCAACTGGTATTGTGTCTGTTCGACTGCTGCAGAGAATCACAGGAGAAGTGATCTCAACACTGCCCACTTCTCTTAGGGAGGCCGTAGAGCACCACCCAGGTGGAGACCAGGAGCCCTTCCCTTCAGGAGGAGGAGGGAGCACTTCTCTTGTTCAGGACTCCACAACTAGCTGGCTTTGAAGATGTATCCAAGAAGGCGCTGTATGACGTCTGTGTCCTTCACAGAACCTCACTGGATGGCTGGAAGGAATCGAGGTGGTTGGGTTTGTTGGCACCAGGCTCTTCTCCACAAGGCAGCTGGAGATCCCTGTACAAGCCTCCAATCGAGAAGCGCCCGGGGGATCTGCAGTGGAGGATTGTACATGGGGCCGTGGCCACTAACAGACACGTGGCGCATGTCGACCCCACTATAGTGAGTGAGTGGATGATGGATGATTGTCTGTCGAGCTCTCCTGCTGCCCGCTTCAGACCAGTTGCCCACGCCCCAGTCACCGCCACCTGCCTTGGACTAGCTGCCCACCCTACACTGAAGTGGACTCCTAACTATTATTACTACCACTACTATTAATATTAGTAGTATAATAATTTTGTAGGTAGTTTGACCAGAGGAGGATGGGTCCCCCCTTGTGAGCCTTGGTTCCTCCCAAGGTTTCTTCCTCAGCTCTGAGGGAGTTTTTCCTGGCTTGCTCACCTGGAGGATTTACAGTTCATGTTGAAACTTTGTCCTTAATGGATTTCTGTGAAGCTGCTTTGTGACAACATCGGTTGTAAAAAGCGCTATACAAATAAATTTGACTTGACTTGACCTGACTTTACGTCTTTGGCCCAAAATATGTTGCTGCTCATAGAGATAAGCTGTGTTTATTGAACTTTCTGGTAGGTCAGGGTAAACTTGCTGTCTGGCTGTCAAGGAAGAATAAAATCCAGGGCAGTGGGACGCTGGACCCTGAACTAATGCTGAGAGCTGCAGTACGGATTAGGCTTAGAATTGAATACGCTTATTTTAAGATGACTCCTAACCTGCCTGCCTTTCATCGAGTGTGGGGACAGGGTGGGGTCTTATGTGAACTTCGTTCCCCCTGTTTTAAAGGGGGAGGGGGTTGAGACCATGTGTATGTGGCTAGAATATGACGATAGGACTGTGTATTGTTTAAATAAAGTGGGTTCAAATCTTTGTCTCTCTATATTCTCTTTCCATCTCTCTCTCTCTCCCACTTTCTCTTCTCTCTCCATGTCTCTCTCTCTCACTGCCTTTTCTTTTTCTCTTTCACCACTCTCTCCATCTCTCTCTCCCTCTTTCTGTCTCTCTCTCTCTCTCTCACTGTCTTTATCTTTTCTCTTTCTCCACTCTCTCCATCTCTCTCTCCCTCTTTCTGTCTCTCTCTCTCTCTTTCTCTTTCTCCACTCTCTCTCCATCTCTCTCTCTCCTTCTTTCTTCTCTCACTCTCTCTTGTTTCACTTTTCTTTTTTTTTCTCTCTTGTTTTCTGTCTATCACCATCTCAAATAATATTAATATTTCTCTCTCTCTCTCTCTCTCTCTCTCTCTCTCTCTCTGTTATAGAGGTCACTATTAAAGCCCTGCAGGAGAAGTTGGAGGAGTTTGAGCGGCTGTTTCAGAAACAGCAGGGACTGAAGACTGAGGATGACAATGATGAAGAAGAAGCAGAACATCCTCCCAGTAACTATGCAGATAAAGACGGGTCAGTCCTCACGCTGTAGAGGGTCACTCGCTGTATTTCACCCAGGGGTCATATTACAGAACACTGTCCTGTCTTTAGTCTTAAGATCTGACAGATCAGGATAAGATTTTCCACAAATTCGTGTTACAGAAACAAATCTTAATTTAACACGCTTTTAAAGGGAGGGGGATTCAGATGGGTGCAGTTTGCAACCTCAACACTAGATGGTGCTAAATCTTACACACTTCACCTTTAAGAATTGAATCTTGTCTTACAGAATCTTACTTCGAGTTAGGAAATCTAAACGTCTACATCGAGGTCGATAATCAACTGTAATGTCTGTTACCCAGCAACCGGCGATACGCGCACAGCTGAAACCTGAACACATAATCAAAATAACGTTAACAATGTAAGTTAGTAAGCCAGACAGCTACGTTAACTCTGTAATAAGGGTCAAAACTAAATTGTGATAAACTGAAAGTAATGAGTGTTGTGAGAGCACCCCCTGCTGTTAATCAGAGCGTTGTTGCTCTCCAGTTTCAGTTTCCATTTCCCAAACACTTTAGTTGACTGTGCTAACGTAACTCCTCCTAATAAACAGCCAGTTCACTTATTGTTCAATATGGTGATGTAATACATTGTTAGAAAGCTTAAAACCTCAGGATTCGATTCCCACAAAGCATTTTATGATCCGTTATTCACAGCAGTTATGATCATCTCATTCGCAGCATCAGCACCAAATGATATGGGAGTGTTATGAAATGGGAGTCAGAGGTCAGTTTAGAGATCTATGAGTCAGGAGGAAATAAACTCCTCTGTTCTAGATTCTGTTACTCTGAGTCAGTAGCTCAGACAGTTACTCTGACCTGTTTCCTTTCAAATGAGACTGAGATCACGACTGTAGCCCAGAGTTTGTGGGAACAGCGCCCCCTTTACTTTGGGTACGCCGTTTCAGGCACAAATAGGGCCCCAGTTAACAGGTTAACCCTAAATGGGTTAAGTAAACAAACACAAAAGTGAGCCTGGATATCTGGATATTTGAGTAACCACGCCCATCCATAGATAATAGACGTTTCATATGATGTGCTGTTGTTTTATCTGTATTGGTTAACTTTTCTCTTTTTTCTGCTGCAGTGAGCTCCAGGAGAGACTGAACTCAGAGGAGATCAAACTCCAAACCCTACAAACAGGTCAGGATACATACAGTCGCATGCAAGAGTTTGGACGCCTCTGTAGTTAACACCACCTCTGAATGGGACAAGCTTAAATATGCCATGTTTCTGCACATTTTAGTGCATATTTATTTTATTTATTTGCTGAATTTAACATATTGGAACGTTATAATACATTAAATATGACCAATATTTTAAATTTGGCCAACAGATAACAACGGTGCATTAAAATTTGCAGAAATCTATCATATTTGTGTTTCATGCAGAGGATTTTTTAAACTTTTTTTAAAATCTACACAGTGTGACGGGGCGCCCAGACTTTCTCATACAGCCGTGCTGTACCAGGATGTCTGCCGTTCAGTGTTCAGTCTTTAAGCGTGTGTGAATTTAGCATTGATGAGCTTTTTATTTGCATTTCAGCTCTTGAAAAAACTCAGGCAGAACTTCAGGAACTGAAGGCAAAGTATGAAGAAGAATCCAGAACAAAGTGAGTTTAATTTCTAATTATCACTCCTGATGACTCGCCTTGACATCTTATTCTGAGTGAAAATGTGAGATTTCTCAGTGTGATACGGTTCGTCGAGTTCAGAACCAAAAACAGCTTTTTCATTTTATTTTTAGTCACATATTCAAATATTCAGTAAAATAAATATTCAGTCATTTTTTGGATAATAGAAAATTATTGGGCTCTTTTCCAACTTAAAAGTCATTTTTGGTAAATAATAAAACAGATTTATTGTCTGTATTCCAATACTGTTAAATCTATTGATCACTTTATTGGAACAGAATATAAACAGAACACAAATAAATACAGTGTTGACATACAGATTATATATGTATACATAATATACACTCACAGACCACTTTATTAGGAACACCTGCTTATGCATGCAGTTACCTAATCGGCCAATTGTGTGGCAGCAGTGCAGCACATGATTCATGCAGCTTCAGGGAGATGTTCATATCAACCATCAGATTGAGGAAAACTGTGATCTCAGTGATTCTGACTGTGTCGTGATTGTTGGTGACGGGCTGGTCTGAGTGTTTCTGCTGATTTCCTCAGATTTTCACACATAACAGTCTTTAAAGTTACTCAAAATGGAGCAATAAAGAAAAAACATCCAGTGAGCAGCAGCTCTGCGGATGGAAGGGCCTTGTTGGTGAGAGAGGTCAGCAGAGAATGGCTAGACTTGTTCCAGCTGACAGAAAGGGTCCGTGTACGGACCATTAGCCATTCAATTTTTGAATGAGAAAAGGGAAAACAGGAAATAGCTCCTTATCTGATTTTTGATTTGAAGTATAAAATTGGAAACTCGTCCAACATCAGTGTCTGACCTCACTAATGCTCTTCTGGATGAAAGGACAGAAATTCCCACAGACTCTCCAACATCTTGTAGAAGCTTCCCAGAAGAGTGGAAGCTGTTAGAGCTGCAAAGGGGGACCAACTCCATATTAATGCCTATGGATTTAGAATGGGAGTCATAAAAGATCCTGTAGGTGTGATGTGTGGGGGCCCGTCTATGTAGTGTAGTGTCATACTGCAAAAGTCTAAATAATAATAATAATAATAATAATGATAATAATAATAATGATAATAATGATAATAATAACAATAAAACAAATGTGTCGAATGCCTTTTCAATGTACAGAAAAAAAATTTACAAAGTTATTTTGAATGAAAAACGAGTGAATTATTATCAGTAAACCGTAATCTGTAAGGGGTGAAAAACCTGATTACACTAAATATTGATTAAATTGGTATTAATTGAGCTAAAGATAACGTTTATGGAGAAAAATATATTTCTTAACTACTTTCAGACCTGGAACATTATTGCTGTTCCTCACAGCCAAACATAGGAACAACATAACATAAACATAAATAACACAAAGACACAAGCGCACCAACTAACTAACCTCAGTGACTCACTGCTGCTCGTCTCACCGTGACTGGACTCACGTGATGCTGGTTGTCATGGTAACGGTCAGTGGTCTACTCTTTTGGATCGGTTTGCTCGTAGTGTGCGTGTAAATGGAGATTGTCATCAGATTGTTGAGCAGAGTGTGATATAAACACCTCAGTCTTCATCTGTAATCAGAATGAATTCACTCGGATTGGAGAAAATCTAAACTCGGCCAGTGATTCCAGACTTTTGAGCAGTAGAGCTGTGTGCGTGTGAGTGTCCCGCCCTGCGGTCGAGGGTTTGGGTGGTAATTTCCTCGTCTTGCTGTCATGCTGGAATGCGGTGTGTGTGTGTTCCAGTGTGGCTGTGGGAGTGGTGTAATTACAGCCCCTCTGATCCAGCCCCCCAGCACCGCCGGCTTTCTGAGCTCTCTGAAGTGGAACAGACACACTTTTTATTTTGTTTAGAGTCTCTCACCGAGCTGAGGGCCGGGCGGGTCAGCCGTCTGGACCAAACGTCTGGGATAACCAATACTGAAATGTGCTCCAAACCCGAATACGGCCCGAAAACTTGCCATCTGAGTCCGACTAAATCCGAACCTCATCATCAGGGTTTTGAGTCTGAACCCGACTCGACCCGACCCCAGCCCACAGAACTCAACAGTCGTCCGAAATGGACCCGAACCGGCTCAGCGTCACCCAGAGGGTCGAAGAAAGCATCATGTTTTTAATGATCACGGACAAATAAGGAAAGAAAAAAGTTTGAGAATTATTTTTTATGGAAAACGAGTGAATTATTATCAGTAAACTGTGATCTGTAAGGGCTGAAAAACCTGATTACACTAAATATCAATTAAATTGAGATTGATATTCAGCTAAAAATAATGTTTATGGAGAAAAATATATTTCTTAACAACTTTCGGATGGTTAAACATGCATCGGGGTCAATTCGTTACAATTTTTTATTTACATTATTGCTGTTCCTCACAGCCGGACATAACAGGAGGGTCAAAGTAATTAAAAACACAAGCGCACCAACTAACTAACCTCAATAACTCACTGCTGCTCGTCTCTCTCTGACTGGACTCACGTGATGCTGGTTGTCATGGTGACGTCTACACTAAGTGGTTGTCTACTCTTTTGGATCGGTTTGCTTGTAGTGTGCATGTAAATGGAGATTTTCCATTTACAAATAAGTAAAATAGACAAATAAGGTGAAAAATAATATAAAATAATGATAAAATAAAACAACCAGCTGTTTTTTAATAAATTTATTAATCAAACGGTGCTTTCAGACAAGCACTGCGTTCAGAAAATACACATGAAAATGTATGAAAATGATCACAAACGTTTAGTGTTATTGTTTAGGGTTATTATAGTTTTGAAATTTTCATTAGTTCATATTTTTTACTTAGTTTGTTGTTTTAGTCAAACTTTTTCAGTTTTGAGAAACTTTGAGTTTCTTCTCAAGCTGTGTGGTGCTGATATAGTGAGACTGATTCTACATAAAACACATTACATACAGCTTAAAAGTGTAAAATTAAATATAAATGTGTTTTTGGCAGCACTAAACTGTGCCCTCCTGATTAGATTCACACTTTGTTTACCTCTGCACTAAATACAAGTGAGTCCATATTTGGAAAACGACTTTATTTTATTTTTTTAACCTTTATTTAACCAGAAAGTTAATCCAAGAAGGAAATCTCTTTTTGAGGGAGACCTGGCCAAGATGGCACACAGTTTCCAGTTACAGGGATTTATGCCCTTATTAAAGCTGACCATAACAAAACAGACATAGGACAATTTAAATATAACACGGATTATTACAGAGCATTATAGAGCACTTTTGCATAAATAATGAATAAATAGCTGTTCACGTTTTTTTATTTTCATAATTTACATTTTTTTTAAACAGTGTGCATTAACATTTCCTAGCGTTTTGATTGGTGTAATCGTTGTAGCTCCTGTTCCTCCTCTTTGTTTGTTTTAGGTGATTTACAGTGTAATGGTCTCTCTGGACTGTAATGGAGAGAAATTCCTCTTTCTTCATCCCTCCCTCCATCATCCCTCGCTCCACCTCCTTTAGTGCAGTCCAGAGTGTGTGTGTGTGTGTGTGTGTGTGTGTGTGTGTGAGTGTGTGTGTGTCTGTGACAAGTAGAAGCGTTCAGTCAAGTGTAATAATGGAATGCATCGGTTCACTTCACAGTCTCTCTCTCTCTCTCTCTCTCACTCTCTCTCTTTTTTCTGCCCAACCCCCCTTAATGTCTGCAGAGGAATGCCCAACTTTCACACACACACACACACACACACACACACACACACACACACACACTTTTGTGTTACATTGCTAGTGAGGACATCCATTTGTTCCTATTCTATTTTTTTTATTACTGTAGCCAAGTAATACTACACCTGGACCTAAACCCTAAACTTAACCTTAGTGTCCAAAAGACATCCTAAATTAGCTCTTTTAGTTTGTCAAAAACAATAATTTGTGGTGAAAACAATGTGCTCAATTGAGGACAGACAGAACGTCCTCACTCAGGAGCAAAAATGTCACATTGTCCTGTCATTATGAGGACATGGAGTTCCCACAAGAATAGCAAAACGAGCATACACACACACACACACACGCACACACGAGGTGTCACCCTAGTCTATCTTCATCTCTCTCTCTGTTTGTGGGATTTTAATGCGTTGCATTTTCCAGCTTAGAGCTAATTTAGGGTAGAACTGCACACTTAGTCTAAAAAGACACTTTCTTAAAAGTATTCCAAAAGCCATTAGACATGTTTATAGCACTCGTATAGCAACAGTATAACACTTACACACTTGAGTTACGAGAATTATTTATACACATCAAATATGAGGACACTGCTGATGGGCTGGTAAACTGCACGTCCTCACAGTGTAGGTGTGTTTTCGGGTTTTTTGTCCTCATAAAACACATACAAGGCTAATGTAGCTACAAACGTGAGTTTCTACAGTTCATTTGAGTTTAAGAAGTGTGATCAGTGAGAACCGACAATCATATCAGTCACTTGAGCACTAAAACTGCTGAAATATAAAACGAAATCATCATATTTTCAGCCCTTTAACGTTGGTATTGCTATTAGCCACATCATTTTCACATCAATCAGGCGCTAGTGCATATGTGGTGTGTGCATTAGTGTGCTTATCCTTTGCATGATACACTGCAACAATGAAAAAGGCATTATCATATAAAAAATATGGCACAGATCAGCAGTTTTTACATGCCTTTAAATAACCCGGATCACATTGATAAATTAGATTATGTGTTTACACACCTGATAATAAACCAGATTGCATGTTAATAAACTACAATATATGTTTACATGTATGATAATAAGCCAGATGGCATGTTAATAAACTAGATTATGTTTATACGCCTGATATTAAGCCAGTTTGCTTGTTAATAAACTAGATTGTGTTTACACATCTGGTAATAAACCAGACTGCATGTTAATAAACTAGAATATATGTTTACATGCATGATAATAAACCAGATCGCATGTTAACAAACTAGATTATGTTTATATATCTGATAAACACCTTAAAACGAAGCAGAATTACAATGTTGTAAAGTTCATGCAGAGATCAAAAACTGGGATATTGAGGAGGATATTGAGGAGGATATTGAGGAAATATTGGGCTTTTCCCCTTAAAGCCGTGTGTAAGGTCCTCATTAGGAGAGTGTTTCTCCAGTTGAGCTGTACAGCGCAGTGTGAAGATGAAAAAGGAGGTGATGAGGACCAGACGTAGCTGGAACCTAATAAAGGTCATACAGTCATACAACTTTTTTTAAAAATCCACTGAGATTTGCTTTATTTTTATTATGTGAAAATGAATCTGACACATCGCGTGACATTCCTGTTTCTCACCTGTGCTCACTTAAAATAACCTGCATTAAAGCGGATGGCGTGGAACCAGGAGAACGTACTGTCAGCCGAGATGTGTTCTCTTCTTTAGTTTTAACACTGGAGCTACGAGTCTAATGTAGCTCGTAATCTAAGCTTATACTCCACCAGTTAGCCCTGTGCTAACTGCGCACATAAATCATCACACTTGCCCTTAAACTCTGTGTCGAGTGTCTCTAATAGACTTGATTATATGGTTTCTGACACTGTGTGACTCACTGTTATCTAGAAACATGTTGTCAGGTTTTATGTACTCTTAAAAAAGATGGTTCTTTAGAAATTGATGGAGAACGTGTTGTAAATGGTTCTATTTTAGCGCCAAAAAAGTGTTCTTTTATTGTTACAAGCTTGACATTATAACAATAGCAGAGCACTTTTGGTCCTGTACAGAACCATATACAGCACATTCCCCATCAGTCTGAAGAACCATCTCACCGTGCAGAGAACCATTTAAGCATGCAAACGTTTGTTTGAGTGTTCATTGTTCTATTCAGAACCTCTGTTTTTACTGAAGAACCATCTCTCTCTTTCTGTCTCCTTCTCTCTCTGTCTCTCTCTTTCTGTCTCCTGCTCTCTCTCTCTGTCTCTCTCTTTCTGTCTCCTTCTCTCTCTCTCTGTCTCTCTTTTTCTCTCTCCTTCTCTCTCTCTCTCTGTCTCTCTCTCTCTCTCTCTTCTCTCTCTCTCTCTCTCTCTCTCTCTCTCTCTCTCTCTCTGTCTCTCTCTCTCTCTGTTTATTTAAAGTGAGGATTGTATTTTCTCTGCTCTCCTCGGTTTCGGATCATAACCCCGTTAATGCATTACAGGAGCTCCACTGATCTGCTCTGCTCAGAGTTAAAGCTGCATTATATTCCCTAATTCCTCAATCTGGGATCATCTGACAGCTTTAAACACAGAATATCACAGTCTGTATTTTATTTAACCGCTTCATCCTGTTTGGACACGCAAACTGCAGCTCCGTATTCGTCTACATCAGAGGTTCTCAGCCTTTTCCACCTCGAGGTCAATAGAAAACGTGAAGGCCCGCAGCATTTTTTGCATAAAAATATATTTTTTCAACACTTTTGGGAAGCACAACATGTCATATATCTCAGTAAACATTAAATAATAACAGATTAGACAAACATAAGCGAGTTTTATGCCTGAAATCAGGCGTAATGATGGCAAACTAAGCTACATTTTTCACTCAGGTGTGGACAACTGACACCTCAGGGCAGTGTGTTTTCTAGAGACAAGGGCCAAAAAATAGATGATGCTGCTTTGTGCACCACTGTTGCATGACTTTTATTAATGTTGTTTACTGTTTGGGAACTAGCGAGAATTATTGAGAATTAATGTTGTTTACTGTTTTCTTATGATTAAGTCCATTTTTTTCGCTGAAAGTACCATAACTGACCCACTACACTGAAAAAAATGGTGTGTTATCTTAAATATAGTTGATAAATCTAATATTTCTCCTGTTGAGATTGTTGTAGCTAAATTTAAGATTGTTTTCCTTATTTCTGGACATTTTTTACTTGTTTTAGGTAATTTTGTTTAAAAAAATGTATATTATTATATATTTAATTAGTAAAATTGTCTCATTACATTGCCAGATAATGTTGCTTGTTGTAAGAAATGAGCTTGAACCCAGCAAAATTATCTGCCAGTATAGTGACTTGATAAAATTACTTAAAATAAGTAAATAGTGTCTAGACATAATCTAGATAATCTTATAATAAGTGTACAACCATCTCAAAATGGGAAATATTACATATATCGACTAGATTTAAGATAATTTCATTTGACAAGATGCCTTTTTTTGCAGTGTGGTAGCACTGGCTCCCCCTCAGTACTGGCCTGAGGACCACCAAATAATTACTTACAAATAATTTCTGATTGTAAAGCAATCATGTATGTGAGAGAGGAGGTATGTCAATAAAGTAATTAACAATAATAATAATAACAATAATAATAATTAACAATGATAAAAAGGAGAACTATAACTTCACATTCATTGTAACTGAACTGCGTCTTTCATTTTCTTTTGTTATCTATCTGTTGTTCCGGAGGTGCTGCTGCATTCTGCTGGAGTTTCCAGGACAGTTTACTGAATTTTACTGCATTTATTATGGTGTCAAATAGGGGCTGAACAACCTCAGATGTTTTGACGTGGACAGTTTTGTGATGGAAGTCGAGTCGACGTCGACTAATCGCTGATGACGCCGTAAATAAAACCACGGGAGAAGGGAATGCTTTGAAAAATGACTTTAAAAATCCGAAACTTTTTTCCATGACGAAGCCAAACTGTGCAGATCAGTAGAGCGTGTTAAGCCTTTTCCAATGAGATCGAAATTATTTTGATTTTCTATTAATATTAGCTCATTTCACAATCAGCAGCACTACAATCCCCAGCATGCACTGCGACGTAATTTGCGCTGACACCCCACTCCCAACAAAGCAACCTTTGGGACAGCAGTTTTCTACCCAACTGCAAACATCATGTCACCAAACACACCAGCTGCGTTTCAGCTGCAGTTCAACCAACATAAACACTGTAAACACTATAAACACTAAAAACACTCAGCGGCTCAGAAACTGATAAAGAACTAACGAACTTGCAGAAAGAAAAGACGTCAGGTGTCGAGACCGAACACACAGGTAGGTTTAACACACCTACATCCTGGGGACATTTAAGAGATTTAACTGTTGATGTTTTGGCGTATTAAAGTATAAACGCTCTCTGGCCCTCGGATCTGTGGAGATTTTTTAATATGGCCCTTTTAGTAGTTGAGTTTGACACCCCTGCCTTACAGGATTACAGGGCGTTATGCCTCGTCTCTTATTCTTCAGGACGCTGAAGATACCGATGTTCAATATCTGATATTTGAAGCTCGGTAGATCAGCAGAGAAATATTAGAATGAAGCCCAACCTGATCACAGTGCTAACATTCAGGGAACCGGAGATACAGACCCTGAAATCAGGCTCCTCACCTGTTGC